TGCAGGAGAACTCCATGTCCCAGCAGTGAAAGTCTGGGGTGGAACTGTTCCCACTGTGCTGCCAAACTGCACAGCCTGAGTTTCACTCTTCCAAACCAGAGCAGATTTTTGCTTGTGCTTGCTGCTGCTTCCACATCTGCAGCCACGTCTGCTTGGCCCAGGAGATGTTTTCTAACGCTCTGGACTCTTAGCAGGCCTGTTGGGCTTCCCAGCTATCCTGGTCTTCATTGTAGCTCCCATCCCTGCACTGAGCTGCTCCAGGTGTATCACCTTTGTCCTGTGTAAGAAGGGGCATTGGATGTCACGACCCCAGCTGGAAACATTCCTTCTATGCTTGGGCTAGTATCTCCATGAAGAATTTTTCTTAGACCAGGCTTGTGCTTCAAAAGCTTGTGGCCACAGTTCAGGCCAAACACAGTCCCACATGTAGGTGCTGTAAAGCCTGAGGCTCCTGCAGGCTCTTGCCTCCTTTCCAGCAGGAATGGCTCATTTGGAAGAGCAGACTGGGCAGTTCATTCAGCCAAGGTGGTCAAGAGCAGAAGGCAGGTCACAGAGAGTCACACGTGCTTCACCTTGCAATACCTGTGAAGCTCTTTGCCAGCAGCTGGGCCAGAGAAGAGCTCACACATTGCTGGGAATGCAGCACATCCCCAATAATTTTGTGACTCTATATATGGGTTTATTGCTGGTGCTGCTTCAAACCAAGACCAGCTCAGGCTGGAGGGTGAGATCTTCCTCTCAGGCTGGAAAATATGAACTTGGAGCCACCAAACCTACCTAGTGGTAAAGAGAGGATTTCAGGGAAGCCCCGGACTCTGCAGGAGATTTACCAGCAAAGAAGAAACAAATAGAAGAATCCAAGCCAGGAAAAAATCTGCTCAGATGCCACCCACAGCAGGAACCAGTCCATGCTCCCTGTCTTGGCAGAGTTAGAGCCAGGCTGAGTTCATCTTCTGTTCTCCAACCAGGAATGCAAAATGACCTATGAAAACCATGATGACCCTGAGGGGGAAAAAAGTACTCAAAGGGTTGTCAGGTTACACATCTTAAAGTTTTCTAGCAGACCTGGTGCTGTGAATACACAATGTGTGAATGGGTGTGTGTGTTCATGTAAGGGCACAGCAAACAGTTGTTCACTTCTGCACTAATAAAGCTGTCCTAAGGAAAGGAAGATAATACAAAACTAATTTCTCAAAAATAACTGCATCCTATATGGGGGTAAAAAAAGTTTTTCTTAACAAAGCACCAAAAAAAGAGACAACAAGAATCCAGTCATCTTTAAGTTAAACAGAATGTGGGTAGAAAAAAAAATCAGACCAATAAAAAAAGCACCAACCAATAAGGATCACTGAGGCTGTTGCATTACAGGAACCTAAAGATTATAAAAAATATGAATAATTGTAAACAGAAAGACTAGGATGTTGTTAGTCCAAGTTGGCCAGATCTACCCTACTAAATGTCTTGCATGTGTCCAAAAGTTTAGGAGAATCCTCTGAAATTGTTTATGGAAGTATGTAAACTACTGTTTTTCAGTTTTTAATTTACACATAAATATATGGCTACAGGGTTTTCTCTGTATTTTCTTACACAGCCCTGGCTCAGGAAGCTGCGTGAGCACATGCTGAGCTGTGGCCACAGAGGCAGCTCTGCCAGAGTCAGCCAAACCAAGCCTGGCGTGTGCCAGGAGCCTTCCCGAAGCTGGCTGTGCTAGTGCCAGGGTTTGTGCAAGGCACAGAAGCATCACAGGAGTGCTGACCCCCTGCTTGTCAGAGTTAAAGGGATTTGTTATCTTGGGACTGCTTTCTGCCATACTGTGTGACTCCCATTACTATTCCCAAGCAGTTTTACATAGGCATAGAAACATTAAGGAGTCTTTGACTGAGAAACCTGCTAACCTGACCTAAGTAACATGGTTTGTTTGGATTCAGTGGGACACTGTAGGGATATTGCACTAACACTCTGCTGTACCCTGTACACTTAACCTAGCCATCAAAGTGTTCAGATTAGCACTTATGAAACAATCTGTCATTTCCATTTATAGTAGGCTTGAGAATTTGGTATCTCTGCCATAGCACCACTTCGATTTTTCCCCATTCTTAGTCTCTACGATGGCCAATACTATGATGTTGGTAACATCTCTATAAGAGAAAAATGTTGCTTGTGCCATATTTCCATTTTAGTTTATTTTCCTAAGAGTCTCTCTTTTCATTTTCTCAGCGATCAGCTCCTGAATTCTTTGATTCCTTGTCCTTTCATAAGGCCTCCTCCGTGTAATGATGTTGTGCTGTGGTACTTCGTTATCCAACCCATCAACTTTGTAGGGAACATCTACTGCATTGATTTCTGGGTGCTCCTCGGTGGCATTGGAAGGGGGTGCCCGTGTTTTGGGAAGCAGGGGAGGGCTGGTGGCAGACTGTGTGGTGGGCATTCCCACGGGAGGGCCAAGGGTGGTCAGGAGCTCCTCCTCAATGACATTATTCTTATTTACAGTGGCACTGGTTACATTGCCATCCTCTGTTAGGTTGCTGTACATGTTGCAGGACTTGCAACACAGCTTATGGTACCCAGGAATGGAGCAGTAACGGGAGAGAACTTCCATGCGACAAAACATTGACTTGTCTCCTTGACAATGATCTTCTGAAAGAGAAAAAGGGAACAGATAAATAAAGAGCATCTTCACATTAATCAGAAAAAGAAACACAGCTGAAGCTTTGGCAGTGGGTGGAGGGTTTGATATTTAAAGTGGGTTGGGAAACTGGCAAATGAGCCTTCCACAAGCAGAAGCAGGCTTATATTCAACCTAAAAGTCAACTCCAAGGGTTGCAAAAGCCGACCTGAACTGTATGTACCAGCCCCATCCAAGCTCTAGACCATCACACTTGAATTTTTGCCTTCACATCCTGGAAGCTCTACCCTTAAGACCGTGAAGCCACAACGAATTGTGCTACTGTCTTGGTTTATACTTAAAACCCACTGATTGTGCTGTGCTGTTTCTAAATCTACACTGAACTCCCACAAAGTCATGAAGTTTTATATTAAGAAATCTATTTTTTCCCTATTTGCTCCTTTTAATGCTTTTCTGCAACCAAACAGTGACTAACCACAGTCAGGGGTAACATATATTTATCCAGACTGTCTCAGGAAAGTCGAGTCCTATTTTGATAATTCTCAGAATTAATCCATCTCCACTAATCAGGGTGATATTGTTGCCAGGTACCCCTACTCTGAAAATAGCAGTGTTTTCTCAGCATGTCTCCTGTTTGAGAGAAAAGTGGTGCCATGAGGCTTTTCTGCTCCTTCCTAGAAGGGAGCTGATATCTTTGGAACAACAAACTCCAGTCCAATGGAGCCAAGCCAGCCCATTAAAGACTGGGAGACTAAGTAAAATTCCTGATTTTTGTGTCAATGACTGTAATAAAAGAGAAAGAATGATAATCTGTAAGCTTTAAGCTGTCAATAGCTGTTACAATAATTTGCTCTATATGGTGTTACGGCAGATCCTGATCTTGCTGAAATGCAGGTGGCAAATTGTAGGCTGAGGCATTAAAGGTGAAGTGGTCAAAGTGTTCCTGCCTGAGAAACATAAACAAAAGCCTACTCAGAGATTCCCCAAGCCCTTGTGATTTCTGCTCAGGGGAGGCAGAGGACTGTATGCTTTGGTGGGGAATGGGTGGTGAGGGTCTAGCAGGCTCCTTGGAGAGAAAGCTGCCTGTCCTCTGCCCCACACAGACAGCCCTCAGCTCCATCCTCTGCCTCTAGGATGAAGTAATGGAGCCAGGCACTGCAGGGAAGGAAAAATCCCAACATGCAGCCCATGCTGAGAGAAGAGTCAGAGGGTTTGTCAGAGAGGAGAGGGCTGAGGAGAAAAGCAGACTGACCAACACCTGGCATCATCACTAATAAAACATCTTCTCTGTGACCAGAGTGCTGAGACAGAGATGAAATCACTTGTCTCTCTCCCCCTGCTCTTACTACATTTCCACCTACTCTTACAGTAAAGGCTGAGTAACTCCAATTAGTTGCTTTTATTTAGAGTGCACCCGATGTGAGACAGTGCTCTCAGCCTGATCTGGAGTCACATCTCACCCTCCTGCTACAGCACTGCCTCATGTCAGCACCCTCACAGCAAAGGAGAGAAGCAGAGCAGGTTCAGCCATAAAAGGGGATTTGGAAAGCGTAGGTGCCACCTCTCCACTCATCCTCAGTTAACCAAACAGGGCATCGTGGGTGTTTCATTGGCAAACATATCAGTCTAAAATAAACTAATAGCTGGTGCTGCTGCTTTAAAATGCTAGTGCTGGCTGAGGCAGGTGAAAACACCTCCTGTACATTGTACCTATGCTCTGATTGTTGCTTTTGTTGCAGAAAAGCAAAATTCTAGTTCCTACTTTAGAATGTGCCAGGTATCTTTCATGTTTTTCAAATACTAAACTGAAATACTGCTGGAGATAGGAATGACTCCTTCCTTAGGAACATAAGAGTAGTACCTTGGTTTTGGAGAGATTTTCAAACCAGCCTTTTAAGAGCTGAAACTGTTCATACCTGCATGCACAGCTCCATACAAAGGCCTGAATGTGCCTATACAATTTATCTATATTTTACATACCCCATAAGAGTCTCCTTTGAAAATTTTGCCTTGTGATGCATGACCCTTATGCATATTCCTCCAAATGGCTTCCATAATAAAAGCCAAGAGATACAATATTTAAATGCAATTTTAACAAGGCAGGTCTGTTCTTGACTTTGTAAGAATCAGTAACAGCACCTTTAGAAAAATGCCTTTTTTCCTAACAAAAACATGCAATGTCAAACTTAACAATACATGGAAATAAAACGGCATTATGTAATAAGTTTAGTGACATCCGATAAGTTGTATAAATAAACTCTGCAACTTCTCAATGCCAGAATAAAATTTTGATCCTCTATCCAAACCAAAATATCCAGATTTGCTGAACTTTTATTTATTTTTACTTGCAGTATGCATGACAGACTGGAAGTATATATTCAAAACATCAGTAAGAAAAAAATAAATCAGTTTCACAGTCACTTTGGTACACATTAGTCTCATAAAAAAATATTGAAAAGCAAACTGAATTGGCACATCTTTAATATTATGTTAAATACATACAAAACACTAATAAAATATCCCTGATAAACCAAAGTGCATATAGACATAGTGCACAATGCCCAGATACCTTATTGCACCATTCTCTATAGCCACCCATCTCTTGAAACATCACTAAACATTGTCTATTTAAAGGTAACAGTCATGAATATATTTATACAGTTAAACACCGATTATTTTACATAACAGTATTCAGTGCCAGATACGTGTCTTTGCTTTTTCACCTTGTCATGTAAATTGTTAACATGTTTCAGGAAATATTAACAGCAAAATTTAAATATGTGATCACATGATAATGACAAGTTTGAAGTGCTACACTGTTGACGACCCAAAGATTCAAAAATGCCACTTTTCCAAAAAATATTATCAAAGCAATAAGGTAGTAATTTGCTCCAAGACTGCAGTTTTACATTTCTACTATTGGTACTGACTGTCACAAAGAAGTTTATGACTTGTGAATTCCAAATCTTCAACACAAACACGGAAGGTGAAGCACGAATGCCAGTTAAATCTCAGTAAGTCAGGCCACAATCCTGTCTCCATGAAGATATGGGTATGCACTGTGCAAATCAACCTCCAATTTAATTTACCACCTTCCAATAGTTATCGTTCAAGTAAAAACACTCCATATGAACATTAACTCAAGGTACCAGTGTACCGTTCATATTTAAAGCTGGATCTGGTAAATTAATGCCATTTACATTTCAACATTAAGGCATTTTTCTAAAATTCATCTCCTAAGCAAAAAAAGCAATAAAAATTGAGGTAATTCTGTAGTAGTTCACACTGTTATGTTTGCCAGTTGACACATCTAAGAGCACACACACGCACACGCACACACACACACACACAACCATACCAGTCAAGTCAGACATGCACATGGTGAAAAAAGACCAGAGATGTAATGAGTATAAACAGCTCCATGCTGAGCAGCTGGAGACATCGTAGTCAATGAAAACATCGTATTGCCTCCGCCACGTCAAGGAAAACACCACCACGCCACCTTCATCATGGACCATGCCTGCTCTGCTTTGGGTTTGTTTCTGAAGTGAAAATGAGCAAAACTGGCAAAAATTGTGCGATGGAAAAAATGAACGCAGCTTTTCTCGAAGAAAAACCCTCCAAACGACCACCAGGAGTGTGGTCAGAGCAATGGCATCAGAGCAGCAGGGAAAGAACCAACAGAAACTCAGCTTCTGCTTCCCAGTGAGCCCTCCACGGGTCACAAACATAAAGGTGAGGGTCAGGAATAAAAAAATGAGCAGCAAGGGTGAGGAAAGCAAGAGCACCACAAAGGAAAATGGAATGAAAAAATTCTTCCACTCATCAGACTACCCTGTCAGCGAACTGAAACCAGAGAGTTACGAGATTTCGGGTTTTTAGATAAAGGAGAACTTTAGCACTACAAGATGTCATTATTGTGATGTGATCACATTCACAATAAGTTCTCAGTTTTGCTATCAAACTGAACATCAGGAACCAGTAAGAGCCTTTTTTCACCACCACCAAGCAACAAGCAAACCGATCCCAGCTCCCTTTCAGAGGACTGCAACATACTGTGGAGATCCAACTTCACACATCCAACACTTCAAGACCTCCACCACCAGTGCTACGCAAGCTCCAGAGAAGAAAGACACCGAGCACCGAGTGCCTGGTGTGAAAAAACAGATTCAGCCCAAGATTTAAACTTGGCAAAGTCAAGGGAACTTTCCGCATAGAGAGAAGAAGAGAGCAAAAGGCAAAGTCCACACTCGATGTGGCATGCATTTAAGGGCAAAGGCAGAGTTATAAATGGGTCTTTTACTTGAAGATATTTTCTGGATGGGGTAGTCTGGATCAGGTCTTGACAGCCATTGTATCATGTAGGTTTTCTTTGAAGGATCAGAAACGTTTCCTTGAATAGAGGAAAAAAAAAAGATGCAACACAACATATGTTAGGCAGCATTAAACTGTTGTCCTGTCAGAAGGGGACAAGCTCAGAGAGTGAGTGGGCTCCAGTTGTGAAGGAGCCCAGGGAAGGATTACAACCAAGCTGATTTTGGGAAAAGGAGCTGTTTGGGGAGGTTGCTACAGCTCGTGCCCAACGCTTCACAACCAACACTGAAGACAGCCCAAGGGCCAGTTCTCCAGCAGCACTTCTCATGGCAGGGTCACACATTCCCAGAGACATGCAGTCCAGTTTAGTTACAGTGCCTCATTAAAATCTTTGTATTGGAGACTATAATTGACAGCTTGCTTCTAATTAATTAGAAATCAAAAGCTACCCTGAGAAATACATCAGGAAAAAAAGAATATGAATGACTTAATAACAGGAATATGTGAAATGATCTCACAAATATAATTTGCAAACAGCTGAAAAGCTAACAAGGATAAAGGCCTTATTGTCCTGGATTAAGGAGGAACAAATTAATTACAGCTTCTAAAAACTGAGTTAGATAACCCCTGCAGATAACTTATGTTTGACAGAATGAAAATGAAGTCTGGAACTGTTGGTGGAGGTGGGGAAAGCAAAGAGGCATCCTTGGTTAGCCACAGCCCAGCAGCCCCTTGCCAATCCCCACAGCTCTCAGGGGTGCAGGGCTGGACTCAGGCACTGCTCCTCTCCCAGGGCAGCTGTTGGCTGCTGGCCACATCTGGCCATCAGCACTGTTCCAATGTCCACCCCAGGCTCTCAGGCTGTCCTGGGCCAAGCAGAGCTCCCCAGCAGGAGAAGAGTGCCCAAGAAGCCCATCAGCCACACTGCAGCTCCACATTTGGAATTCTACTCAAAACAGGGACTATGGAGTAGTGCCCCTGCCCCAACAGGCATAGCACACAAGTATCAATTAAATGAAGGCATTGCAAATAATTAAATAATTATTTTTTTCAACAAGTAAGAGAAGCTATAGAGGAGAAGCCCTTACTGGGACAGGGAGGTAGTCTGCAGATCCTGACGCTCTCTGGTTTGCTGTCCTTGCACAGGCCGATGACATTGTCCCTGGTGCGGCACAGCACTGGGCGATCCTGGGTGCCATTGCCACAGCTGACAGAGCACTGGAAGGACAGGCACAGTTACACCCCAGCCACCCTCTGCAAACAGCACATCAGAAATTAGCTTCTCCATTTTAAACTGTCCTTGATTAGAGCTGACATGGTACATTATTTGAACCACTGCAGTAATGAAGCACGAGGGAGAGCCACTCACTGCTTCTTGTGGTCCACCAGTGATTGTGAAACACTCCAAGAACGAGCTGTGGTCTGAGCAATAAACAAAAAACTGCACATGCAAGCCATCTATCCACAGAGCCATCAATTCACACATACAGCGGTGGCATTACTCGTCATGCCCATTCCGCCAGACAGAGATTAGTTTGTTTGAGACCTCCGGGAAGAGACTGACCTGTGACCAGGGTCCAATTCTCCACTGTGCTGGGCACAGCTCCCGGTTGCAGGGCCTCCTGCCCTCGGGGCGGTCGTTGTTGCAGTACTTGGTGTGCACAGAGCGGTTGGTGTTGTCGTGCAGGGGCTGGATGCAGCGCACAGACCGCACCTGGTACCCTGTCTTCCCACAGGATTTGCTGCAAGGCTCCCACTCCCCTGTAACCCAGCTGGGATGGTGAAAAGAGAGTGAGCAGAGTAAAAGTCAAACTGTTGATCTGTAACTCTTAAGCACAGGTTTAACGTGATGTTAATGCTAGTTCTAATATGGAGAAAATGAGACAATATGAAAAAAACATAAGCAGTTAACATGATGTTAATACTAGTTCTAATATGCAGAAAATGAGAAGATATGAAAAAAAACCCCAGAAGCAGTTATGGTGAGGGCTATTTGACTGCCCCTGAAATGTCATTAATAAGACCCAGATCTTCGATATTACTCTTTCTCATTATCTCCAAGGTAAGCATTACTATTACTTTGCTGTATTTGCTGCCCTTTCCAAAACTGCACATAAAAATAGGATCACTTTTATGTCAAAAGCAGCCACCCAAGAGTGCTGCTGAGCTTCCCAGGTCTGGGTGCATGAGATGTGCCTTGTCTCATAATGCAGCACAAACCAGCTGCATTGAAGCCAAAACATCTGGGCTAGAAATGCAGCTCCTGCCTGGCCCACATCTGGGCTCTCCATGGACCATATCCCTGGCCATGTTACACTCAATCTGCTGAAGCACTGGCAAAGCCAGTGCTGTGAGTGCTGAGCTTGGGCAGATCAGGGTCTTCATCATCATAAATGTTTGGTTTGGGGGAAGGCAACACCCCATTGAAAACCAGAAGGGTCGAGTTCATAATTTCTAAATCAGTTTGGCCACTGAAAAATGAAATCTACAGTTTGTAATGTGGTGTGGTTGAAACTCTCACTGATTACCCAAACCTCATTAATTACAGCTACAAATTGTAAAGGACTTAGAGAAGAACAGCAGGGACAGACAGCACCAAAGGAAGTTTACCTAGACTACTGAAAGCTTGGTTAAAATTAAGTGAAGACATACAGCAGTCTATAAATATTTACAGAGTGCAGACATCTGCAAGATGGAAATATTGTTCCACGTAAACAATATTCTTGGGATCAACTTCACCAAAAAACAGACATAGTCTGGAGAAACACCCTGAGCTTGAAAAAATTGTCCTGAAGTACTCATAAAATCCTGAGTTTGGAAATAGTCAAAAAATAGTACAAGGCACTGCACTACACATTCCAGTTAATCAGAAAGTAACAATTCCTCCCAACTTTCTTTTTGTAACCTACAGAAATTACACAGCTGTGAAGAAATGCGAGAGTTGTGAAGCCAGGAATCCTGAGGTGACTTCTGAGACAAAGAAGATTTTTTTCCCAGAAGTGAAGAAGCAGCATATTAGTGTAGGGGGTGTCCCAGAGCTTTGTAAAACTCCTTAATAATTGCCTCTCCTATGTACAAGAGCAAAACGCTTGGATGACATTCTTTGGAAACAGAGCTAACTGAAACTTCAGGGATCCAAGTATAATTTAGGATCCTATTGAGCCTTTGTGGTACCTGGGCCCAATTATATTTGCAGCTGAAAGGAGGATACAGTCCTTTCCAGAGAGCCTGAGATACGGTTAGGTCATTACTTCAGTTTTCCAATAAATAAATGTTCAACCCTGACCCATGCAGAGTTTATGGGGCAGAGTTTCTTGCCTTTTCTCTCTTTCAAATCTTTTTCTTTTGAAAGGAAGTTAGGAAATATTGTGGTATGTTCTATTTATTTGCTGTGATTCCTGGAACCTACACTTGGTCCCCAGAGATAAAAGCTGGGATCAACATATTCCTTTCTTGTTGCAGTAGTAGCACAAAGAATATATTAGTCCTACATGTGGCAGGAATAACCTGCTGCCAGTCAAAAAAATCACCTGTAAAATTTGAATTAAAATATTTATAACACTTGACTATGTAGAGCTATAAATGAAGGTACAACAGGCATTTCGTGCTGTATGAGGGCAGCCAGAGAAATCTAACAGGTCAAGTCTTTTCCCTGTGTTTAAATGTCCAAAAATATCCTGTGAACTTTATGAAGATTTGGATTTGAGAAACTGGACATTGACACTGGTTGTCTTCTGCAGCACTCTGTACATTTGCTCTGACATGGTTAACTCACACTGTGTAAAATCCGCTGGTATAAATTGAATTTATGTCTATTTTGTATCACCTCACGATGGCCTGAACACAAAAGTATGGATCAGGATAGCACTTATTTTCTAACCCAGCTTATTTCATAAGCCACAGGAACCAGCAATCACAGAATATTTCCATGAGCAGAACAGAGCATGAGATGCTCACAGTCCTGGGCCCCTGCAATGGTCACAAAGGTGAAGCTAAAGCCACCTTCCTTGAGGTGCCAGTGCTGGCTGGGTGAGAAGCCCCTGCACCTCCAGGGGACGCTTACATGGGCTGGGAGCACTCCTGGAGGTTGCACACCCTGCGGATGGGCTTGGGCTTCTGGATGAGCTCGCAGTAGCTGCGGTGAACCATCTTGTGGTCGGTCTTCCTGCGGCAGCCGTACTTGGTGAACTGGTAGCCTGGGGAGAGACACTGCTCTTACTCTGAGGGCTGGCACACCTCACAGGGCTCCAGCTGCAGAGGAACTGCACAGATCCTGTCAAGGGCTGCAGTGGGAACTGCAGAGGAACATGCTACCAAAGGAGGGGTAAGCTGCTCTGAATAAATGCAATGCAAATTTAACACCCATAATTGTTCACCCCCTATATTTGTCACTCCTTTAATCACAGAATCACTGGGATGGAAGAGACCTTTAAGATCATCGAGTCCAACCCAGCCTAACACCTCAACTAAACCCTGGCACCCAGTGCCACATCCAGTCTCTTTTTAAACACATCCAGGGATGGTGACTCCACCACCTCCCCGGGCAGAACATTCCAGAACTTTATCACTCTTTCAATTAAAAACCTTTTCCTGATATCCAACCTACATTTCCCTTGACAAAGCTTGAGACGGTGTCCTCTGGTTCTGTCAGTGCTGCCTGGAGAAAGAGACCAACCCCACCTGAGCACAGCCACCTTTCAGGGAGTTATAGAGAGTGATAAGGTCACCTCTGAGTCTCCTTTTCTCCTAAACTGAGGAGCCAGAACTGGACACAGCACTCAAGGTGTGACCTCACCATGAAAATGAAAAGAACACTTAAATAATGTTTAATGAAAATAACAGTCAGATCTAGCATCTCAAAAACATTCTGAAAACCTCTCCAGTGGCAATCCAGTGGTGCAACCTGACCATCAACCTGGGGAACAGCATCAGCCTTCACATATGGCCCCAAAAATTAGTCTGACATTGCAAAAGCCACATCATTGGATGGGGATTTACAAAGGGCTGCCCCATGGCACCTTGAGGTTCAGCACCTTCACAGCTTAGAGACCCTCATCCAAATCTTGTACATTTGTCCAATTTTTTAGTTTCATAATCATAAATCAGAAATTAATCAGCCCAGATCTGCCCCCAAACCATTTAAATCAGATTTTAACCCCACTGACTATTTATTTATCTACTACTTAAATAAAACTCCTCCCATATTCTGATCTCCTTAATGTCTCATGGCAATAAACGAATTTTGCATGATCTGAGGTTTTGTTTTTACCTCCTCCACAAGGTTTTGAACACTGGGACCACTTCTTCAAAGCCCATTCATATGACAGTGAGTCCTCTTCCAAAACATTATTGTTATCTACATTCAAGGAATCTTCATGGATCATGTACTTGTAAGTCAAAGATATCTTGGCACCACCATGAGGAATCACCTAATAAGCAAAGGAGATGTAATGAAAAAGATATGAAAGGCTGATATCAGGATCTCTGTGAGATGATGTGAAATAGTGATCATGGCTCACATACAAAAACATCCCCAGAGGGATTTCAACCTTTTAGCTGCACTCAACACATTTTTTCCCTGATGAAAAAGTATCTCCATCCTTATGAGACAGAGTTACTAAACTGCATATTAAGAAAGACTGTGGTTGATTTAGACTTATTTTCCTTGCCAGCATTGGACTGACATCATGATACTAAATTTTTTCCATATCCCATCACAAAGGAAGGAAATTTTGTACTGAAATGATAACGGATAGTTCCACTAAAAGACAAAGCAAATTCAACTGTGCAAATAAGTGAAATCGGCAAAGAAAATTGCTTATATTTCTGATAAAACACAAATATTCTTATGATAGTCCTGGAATTCTGCAAAGCTTTTTACTTAATCTTGACAGAAATATAAACTATTTAGAAAGATGTTTTGTTATCACACTGCACTAAGACAAATGCAAGAAAACAGATCTCAATTTGAGCAAAGTGCAAAATATTTGTCCTTTGGAAACATAGTATTTATTCTTCCTTTGAAGTTCAGCTGGTGTAGATCAACACATTACAGTTGTTTTCAGAGGGATTTTAAATCAACTTACCCCTGAATTGAAGTCTACTTTTTGCTAGTTTGCAATGAAAAAAGGAATATATTTGGGTGGTTTTGGGAACTGTGGAACTGTTTTGCCCTGAAAAAGGGAGCCAGGATCACAGGAATCCTGCAGCTGCCTTTGCAGGATACACTTTCAAAACATAGATGGGAGAGGGAACTATTAGATCAGGCTGATATGAACCACTCTGACCTTTTTTTGATTGGTGCTCACATGTCAGATAGGATAAGTAAGCTGCAGCCTTTACTCAGTGGCTGATTGCTATGCCAGCCACAGGAAATAATCACGACAGCTGGTTGCTCAACACATAACCCTGAATTATAACAGCAATGAGCTGGGAGAAAGGAATTAAAATACATCTCCTATTGTCTTATAATTGAAGCAGATGTCTCCTGGTAACTCACAAGAGGAATGTGAAGGACATGCTAGCCCACTCTGGCTGTGAGGAAGGTGGTTTCCATTTGGCTTACCAGGATGATGATCCCGTGCCGCAGCGGCCCCATGGTCTGCACTGTCTCTCTGTCGTCGTCATTCCGATATTCCCACTCCACACCCATGTCAATGAAGACCTTGGAGTCTGGCACATAGTTGTCCTCACTTAGAATGAATTTCCCTGTTTCACGATTTTTAATGGCTGGGAGCAACACAAGAAAAGTGAATATAAGAGGTTTGTTTCTCATCTCCAGTTTTGTTCTGCTCGTGTCCCAGTGGACGAAGCTGAAAAGGCCAGTGTGCATTTTCCCTCTCTTCCCTCTCAGGTTTGGAAAGACTTTTTCAGGTGTTTCACTGAACTGTCAATGCTTTTCTGCTCAGCTCCAGGAACATCAGTTGTCCTTTTTTTTCCTTTTTCATAGCCTGCCTTGGCAGAGAAACGAGGCCAATGCAGCTGCACCACAGGGGTCCAGCTGCCTGCTCCCATATAACAACTTCTGAATCCACTGGCCAAATCCGAGCCAATTTGAGAGCCAGTGGGGGTCCCAGAGCTATTCAGCTCTTTCATATATTGTAAGGCAGCTCAGAGGGTTGTTACTGCTCCATCAGAGGAAGGCTACTGAGCTAACCCCCAGCAGGTCCCCACAGCGAGAGAGGGACACTAGAAACAGCATTAATTCTCCTGCTCAGATCCAGTCCTGACACCAGCTCTGCCCTGTTAAGCTCCTGCTGCTCTGCAGACACCTGCCACTGCACACAGAGCCAGGTTCCTCTCTTCAGCTCCCACCAGTGCTCCATCCTTCACCTGGAGAGACTTCAGCCACCTTTGGATGAGGACAGGTTTTCACCTGAGATGGAACATTTGCCCTCGTCGTTAGAAGAAGCAGGGACTGTTTGTTATGTAACACCAGATTTTAACTCCATCCTCTGCCTGGCAGCTACCTGAGCATCCTGCTCCCTCAGCAGTGGCCAAGGCAGTGAGCCAGCTGTCCATGTGCACAGCACTCACCCACCTTGGCAGAACTTTGAACAAGGGCTGCTCCCTGAGCCACAGGGCCAGGCTGCCCTGGGCAGCCAGGGAAGCATTCACTGGGAAAAAGCTGGGATGGTTCACACTATGGTTAGCAGATCATTCACTGTGAATCTACTTCCAATTAATAGCAGCCTACCAGTCACTGCTTCCCATTGATTACAGGGCCGGGAGGAGTGGATTTCCATTACCTCCTGAACTGCTGGATTGATTTGGCAGCCTCGTGTCAGTACTGTTAGCAGTGGGGCAGAATCTGGAACAGATCTGGATATGGCTGGGAAATTACTGAGGGTGGGAAGCATGAAAGATGCACACAAAGACCTTGGAATGGTTTGGGTTGAAAGTGACTTTGAAGATCATCTACTTCCAACCCCCAGAGATAATGCACTGAACCCCATAAAGTAACTCAGTGCCTCTTCCAGCAGCTTTCACACATCACATGCACATACCAACACAGAGATCTGGCTGGGACACCCTGGAATACAGCGCAGGGAAATCAAATTGCCAAACAAGTTTCCTAATTTAACATACTTAGAGAAAGTACATGGTGTGGGTGGGTAATGGGTAAACAAATGTACAAACACATTGTCAGCCTCCAGAGACAAAAATAAACACCAGAAAAAATATTCTGACTGAAAATCTTCCTACTTTTTACTTACCAAGATGATGAGTGGTGGCATCTGTTTCCTGTATAAGTAAATGTCTTGCACCAGCAGGAATTTCAAACATCTTAACGTACCCTATATTGAGGTATTTGAAAAGATAGTTATGGATTAATATGCTACAAAATAATAAATTAATTATTAATTAATATGCCCAGGGTGGGTTTGTCTTAGGTTTTTAAATAAATCTTATTTTCTGAAAGCAGGGTGTATTAAACAAGATGAAGCGAATCCAGCACTATTCCCATTCCCATTTCCGTGCCAGGTAATGGAACATAACAGGGACAAAGGGCTTTGGGTCAGAAGAAAGGTGCCTGAAGTGTCACAACAGACTTGGCTTCAGACTAAAATGGGCTTTGAGACCACACAACCTCCTGCCTGACAGAGCCTGCTGATGAGACATTATTGCAGCACTGGAGTGACAGAGCACTGGCTGACATCAGCTGCACAAGCCCAACAAGGAGCAGGGAAACCCTCTCCCATGCATGCACAGGCCTTGGTATCAGCAGCTTTAACTGCTCACTGGACAGAAGTCTTATTTCCAAATTATAAACACATCTGGAAGTAAGTCCAGATTGTTTATTGGAATTAATGATGCTGCAAATGATTTTTAATTGTCCTGGTACTTTCCATGAAACATAAGAGACTGAGAAAAATGCCCTGAATTCCCCAGGACAAACCACACTGGATGTACTGACCTTGCTTTTTTGGTATTCTTGAAAATGTTCTTTTCACCACTTTGCAGTGGGAATTATCTCCTCCACAGACACCACACTTATCTTCCTGCTTTGTGGAACCTATGACCCTGTCACACCCAACTTTCTGTGCACAAAAGAGAGAAACAGTCACTCTTATTTATCCACTTTTCAATTAAAATGTGCCTTCCCTTTACATATCAACCCCCTGATTCTGCCTCATCAAAGCAGCACACCTCGTAGTGTTCTCCTGGAAGATCAACACCTAAACAGATTTTAATACTTGCAGTTCCTATAATAGCTGTCAACTGGCTGATTATATTTTCATATTACCCTTCACAGTGGTTCTCTCACTGAAGGAAAGCAGCATGGTTAAAGAAAAGCTCTTAAGCCTCAGCTTATCTTAAGACAGATACTTAAATTCCAGGAGAATCTAGGCATCTATATGGGGATAAGCACCTCCACCAGTATTTTGCTAGTCAGATACTCATTCCTTTGAAAGATGACCTGCAGCAGATCCCAACTTAGAGGAACTGTCATTGATTTTTTAAAAATAGCATGATCAAATACCAAGAGAAAGCACATCAGCCATATCCTAACACCACTTTCCTTGAAAGCTGCTGTGTGTTCCTATTTGATTGTACATTCCACCCCCACTAAACCTCAGCAGGGAGAGCTTTCCTTGAAAGCTAATTGTAATAGCTCATCTTAAAATACAGCATGAAATGTTTCTTGTGTAGGTAGGTGCTTTTGGAATCTAGTCACATGCATGGCAACTGTGAATATCACACATAATATTGTGACAATAATCCTAATGAAATCTCCTTATTGCCCAAAGTGTTATTATACTTAGTCATGCTTGGAGAGAAGCACTCAAGGTAGAGTTTGAGTTGTTTTCACCCTGCTGAGCCGTGCAGGAGCCCCCAGGTCCTCACCAGGCAGTCTCCCCTCACACAGATGCTGTAAGCATCCTTGTAGGAGCAGCGGGTCCCGTCGTGCACCATCCGCTTCATGTACACCACATCCCCTGTCTCCTTGGATTCGCAGTACAGGTGGCACCTCTCCTTGGCTGAAAAAACAAAACAACCCAAATTGTGCACGTTCAGCTCCCAGTTTAGTTGCTGATGTTGTGAGCAGCTCTTTCAGTAGTGTTGGCTCTCCCTTCTTCCTTGCACACATCACAGAGCCCAACGTGGTGCCCATAAATCATTGATGCTCATCCCCTTTGAAAAATTCTGTGATCTCTTGGAAAATGCTGAATCATAAAGCGTCCATGTGTCACCATTAGGAGACAGGCTTAAAAATAACAGATCATTGCCTTTGAGGGGGGATCTATTTAATCCTTTGCAGATGATGCAATCTGGCAGAGCTCTCCTCATTTGCATGACTACCTGAGAGAGATGCTGGTTTCTCCTGCACTGCACTTAAATGAAGAAAAGCCAAATTAATTTTCCCATTAAAAGCAGCTGTTTGACACTGAGTGAACCTGGCATCCAAAATTTCTTCAGAGACAGCTGGGCCATAGCATTTCATCCTAACCACAAAGTTAATTTTCCCTCATGGTTATACTTGTATTTATGATAATTTAAACCATTAAACAAGATGAGATGTCAAAAAGATTCAGACAAAAAACTTTTTTTTACTCCTAACACATGCACAAACAGCCAGACAAGTGGTATTTTCTCTAATCTGTTCCAAAGAGCTAAGAACAAAAAATGAAGCTGAAAATGACTAGTCAGTGGCTGAATAAAGTTGTATTCCAGTGGTGTATTTCATTTTATCCATGTCTCTTGCTGTCCTCAGCCCCATAATAGGATTCACTATGCTTTCCTTGGCACTGAAGAGCAGATGGCCTTTCTGCTAGATGAAACAAATAGAGATTCTGCTATTTTAACATGATTAAAAGTTGGGGTGCTTTTCCCACCATTTAAAACAATAACAACCTTTCCATTGTAGCAGTTCAACTGAAATAAATCTTCACAGGCCCTTTGCATTCTTTCCCTGTACAGTTCCATGGCCTCTGCCCTCTTTTTATAAAGTCCTTGTTATTGCTGTTGATGTCCTCAAGGCCACTGGGTATTGGTACATCAGAGACCTTTGCTACTGCTCCCAAACCATGCAGAGAAGCCATGCTGAAAATCCAGGGTCTAGTCTATTAAAACAGGCACTTTGTTTGTGCAAATTCTTCATAGGAGACTATTAAGATCATGATAACGACAGACCTAATGTATATATTAGAAACATTAAGCTGTGCACAGGATGGATGTGCACACAGCACCCCTGGGTATGCAGCCACCCCACACACAGCACACATTCACTGCCTGTGATTAAATGAAAATATCAGCAGGTCTCACTGGGTGCCAGCAACTCTGCACAAGGGCTTCATTTTAGAGATGGTTCTGCTCCCACTGCTCTGTGGAGCAGTAAACGTGTAAGTGCTGTTAAATTAGACCCTGCTGCTGCAAAGAATTATTTTCTTCCTGTGCTATTCACTGATGCTGGGCACAGCAGAGGTGCAGGAGCATGGATATGATGGTTGTCTGTCCAGTCCCTGCTCTCTGAGTCCTTCTCATTTAACTCAGGCTGGGGGCTCATGGCCAGAGTCCCTCCCTGCTGCCCTGGCAGAGGCAAGGGAGATGCAGCAGCCTGTGAGCTCAGCAGGGTGAGGACCTGGGGGCTCAGAGGGCCTGGAACAGGAGACAACGGGGCTATGGGACGCTCAAGGACAAACTGGGGTGTACCCCAGCTCAGTGGCTTTTCTCTGCCCACAGCATGAGGCTCTCCTCTCTGTTCCTCTGCCCTGCACAATGTGTCAGACACGTCCAGCTGAGCTGCCTGTGAAGTGTATGGATTTATGTCACTTCTGAGCCACAACTGCATTATCCTCACAAGTATGCCACTGATATGCCTTATCCTTACAAAAGGGAGTTTTGAATAGATTAGAGTTCCAGCATAAGCTTGTCTCTGGCCTTATTTTCACACAAAAGCTGTTCCCTCTAATAACCCTGCACAGGTAAATGTAACTCTCAAGGTGTCTGCAGTTATACCATAGTTATATTGGAAACCAGCAGTGCCCAGGGATCAGTGTTCAGACATCAATGAGCTGGTTTCGGACCCAGAAGCCATTGAATTTAATTGAAAAAAATCTGATTTGTTTCACTGGTCTTTGCAGCAGACTGCTCCAAAGGCTAAATCATAAGCAAAGGTCCTGCAGACCACAGCCTTCATCCCTCCACCCTGTGCCAGCAAAGCTATTCCATGAAATTAAGCTGTGAGGCTGTGTCTGTGCATTTGAAAATCCCAGACTGACCAAGATGGCATGAAAAGAATGAGGGAACTCTGAGAACTATTTGGGAAGAAAGTCAGGCAAATTAATTGTAAGGAATTTGCTATTAATTTCTGGCAGAGTATCCTCTCACTGGAATGCAAAATGATTCGCCCAAAGTGACCTTTCCCCTCCCAGCGAGGGCAGCTGGGCTGAGGATGGGGTGGGTGCTCAGAGCCTGCCCCTTGCCAGGCCAACCCTGCCCTCAAGAATTTGCCATTCAAGTAAGGTGTTGGGGTTCAAAAACAGTGAGCAGCTCACACTGCTCATTCAACAAGCTGAGACTCATTGCCCTCTGCCTCTTTGTTTGGTAAAACATCTCAGAGTGTTTTCTGGCAAGAGCAGACACGGCCCAAAGCAACCAGCTGCACTTGCACTGACAGCTAAGCTGAGGCATTAACAGGAACAGGAACATTTTTGTTCTAGGAGGTGATCCCTGTCAACCTTGCTGGTTTGAGAGCCAGCACCCATCCAACCCAACAGCTGCCTCCAACAGTGCCAGCAGCATTTGGAGGAAGACACAGGAACAAACTGGAAACTTTTCTCAGAATATTCTCCCGGTTCCTCCAACACTGCAGCTTGGGGACTTCCAAAATCATGACTGGAACTTGGTGTTTAATGGCTCTTAATGGAATGTAGAACTGTCAAGAATTTTTCAAAATAATTTCTGAAACTTTCTGGCATCAGCAGTCTTCTGTGGCAGTGAATTTCAAGATAATTAGATGCTTTGTATTAAGCCTTTCCTCTTATTTGTTTTAAATCTGCCATCTGATAATTTTATTTGATATTCCCAGGCTCGTGTTATGAGAAACTCAATAATCATTCCACGTTCAGTCTCTTTGGGCCACTCCCAACTCTGTAACTCTATCTTTTTAATCTACATCCTTGCTTTTCCAGGGTGAAAAGTCCTGGTTTATCTAAACTCTCCTCATCCAGAAGTCATTATTTATGTTTGCTTTATTCTGGCTGGAGTTCAGCTGTGGGTTTTTTAGCAGCCTGGGCAGCAGTGAGATGATGGGCACAACCTAAGCTGCATTGGCTGAGTATTTAAAGTGCAGGCACAATGTTCAGGTGCATGGGGGCAGGTTGTGTTCTCCAACTCTCCCTTCACAGTCACTGAACTGATCTTTTCCTAAAGTTATTCCCAGCCTTTCTCTTCAGAGCCCACCATCCACACACACACACACACACACACACACACACCAGTTTTTACCCACACATCCAGTAGTGGCATTCATTAACACCAAACTTCCTTTGCCTTCTTGTGTCCCTTAGTGTCACAAGGTCCTTCTGCAGCTCTCAGAGTGGGCCATGCTCCCATACAAAACCATTCCCTTTTATCTCATGGTAAATCCATTTAACAGCTGGCACTGGGGAACAGTGTCCAAAGTTTTTTGAAAATCCAAGTGCATTGTACAAATTGAGTCACTCATACACTGATACTGATCCCTCCAAACACCTCCTAACAGATTTAGGAGGCATGATTTCCTGGGGAGAAGTTTTACCCCTCCCTATATAATTTTTATTCGTATTTGCAACTGATTTTAGTTTTCACAGGAGAGGGGCTGCTCACCATCAACATGTTCATAGGGCAGCCAGTGGTGTTTGGTGTTCTGGTACTCAAAGTAGGGGTCCCACTGCCGGCACTGCTCCTCTCTGAAGTCCTCAAAGTCCTTGGGACACTCCTGGGTGTTGCACAGCTGGAATTCATAACTCGGCCCCACACACGTGCGGCCTCCGTTGGCAGGACTGAGACAGGCAGAGAAACCCACGGTTAGTTTTGCTTTTATTTCATTAATTAAGTGTCTATTAAATATTTTGTGGAGCCATTTGTTTCCCAATCATGTCAGCAGGCACTTGACAAAGCCAGGGCTGTATTTCTGATACATAAAATACGTATTTATTTCCTTTCAAAACCTGCTGTCACTATTTAGCTGTTAAAAAGCAACTTGTGCAAGAAGAGGTTTAAACTGCTTGATAACGGCAAGAAAAGCCATTTTCTTGGTGTTGCCAGGAAAGGAAAGCACAGCAGAACTCATTCACATTCACCCCTAATGCAGCAGCAAAGGCAGAGCAGCCCAGCCCAGTGTGTGCCCCCAGGCAGATGTGCACCAGATCCCTGGCACATCTGGCAATGCAGAGCTCAGGACCTGTAGCTGGATTTTCATCCTCTTCCAGGAAACACAGAAAATGTTTTAAATAGCATGTTATGCTTTTCCTACATGCAAATAGGTTTTACAACTAAAGCTGTGCCCACAATTATAAAGGTCGCTTCTCTGTTGCCAAAGTTATAAAGGCTGAAAAGAGAACTGGCAAATGTTTTCTTAACAGAACAATTTCCATGGGAAAATGCTGCTTCATAAAACTCAATTTTAAAAAAAACAAACAAATCAATGATAAGATGATTTTTAATACTAGCCAAGTTCAGTTGCTTTATCAACAAACCAAGAAATTCAATGTTAAAAGTACTCTCTGTTAAAATCATTTAATCCCAACAATTGTTTTAGTCCTTGCTGTTAAGATCTTGACATTTTATGATACCACACTAAGATAGCAATAATTACACATTTCCTATCACATGTATATACCAATCTTTATTAACTATACTTTACTTCCACTGTTACTGAAACTGAATTATTCTACATTATCTAGATGACCCATATGTAAGTTATTAAAGCAAGACAATTCAAAATTCCTAAAATTAACTTTGGGGAAAGTTCTGATCTCAGGAGCTTTGTTCCAACTTGGAATCAAACCAGTTTTACAATATTTTAAGATCTTGTTGAAATATCCTAAAAGGTGGATTAAAGAAAACTTTTTAAAAGGTTTTAAAAAAATCCAGTCAATCACTGCTATTATTTCATACTCACATTTTAAAATGAGATATATAGGACCATAAACTTTTACTTATGCTTTACATAGTACTGTATTAGTCCTTGTAACTGCATAACCAGTTTAATGGATGGATAAACTGAGAAATATAGATGATTCATGACTTGCTGAGGGCCAAAAGTAGAATTTCTGGCAACGTATGCTATGGGTCAGGTTTAACAAGCACCACTCAGCATCCTTTCCAGCACTGCTGCCCTGGCCATGCACTGAGGATCCCTGTGCACACCAGTGGAGCCCCCCACCATGGGGTGTCACTTACTGTGGGTTGTCACACTGCCGGGTCCTGTACTTCACCCCGGTGCCACACGTGCGGGAGCAAGAGCCAAACTTGCTCCAAGCCCCCCAGTGCCCATCCTGCTTCAGGATGTCTGGTGTGAGCCAGATGCAGTGACCTTTAAAGCAGTGCTGAAAGAGAGAATCGGATGTCAGAATGATTAGATATTAACTTACATCTGATGAGAAGCTGTTGTACCACACATTTTAATTTTCAGCACGAGCTCTGGATTTTTTTCACCTCTCCAGTAGAAAGTAGAGGGACTTGCTGTCAGATTGTGCCCATGATCCCAAACTCACTCAGATTTTACAACCTTACATGTCAGTATGCACATCTGTGCAGGCAGGTTTCAAGCCTACCAAGTTTGTTAAACTGTTGTCAGTGTTACATTTCCTCATCACCTGTCTGCAGCAGGGATATCATTTAAGGGAAATGGCAGAATCCCAAATCTAACAGTAACATCCTGCCTCCACTACTGCCTGCAGCCTCTTCAAGCAGCACTGTCAGGAGCTGTGGCCACAGCACCATCCTGCCCAGCCACTCCCAAATCCACACACATATTCCTACTATAAATGCAATGAGCAAAGTGTCAAGGAATTAAAGCAAGCTCACATTGTAGACTACTAATGCTTTTAATTAATGCTATTAATTAAAAGCTTTTGCAGTGTCTCCCTGGAGATCTCACGGTAAACCTGACTAAAAAACCAGGAGGCATTCCTTAGGGACAGCCCTGAGCAGTTCTGCAGCTGCACAGTTCATCACGCCCTACCACACTTTCTCCTTTCTTTTACCTGGTTTTTAACATAGTCATTGCAGAGCAGTTGAAACACAGAATTTGCTACATTCCCCAAACTATTAAGGGATTTATTTTATTTCATTAAAAGTCTTCATAACTCCAGTACTGATCATCTCTACTGTCATCTCCTGTTAAAGAAACCTGTCAATGCCTTTCCACCAATTTCTCCAGTCCCTAATCATGGAATTTTTTTCTCAGCTGAAGTCACAAAGAATTCTTCTCAAGGATCACAAGATTCTGGCCCCTTTCAGTAATATTTCTGCTTTCATAAAAGTCTACTGATGAAGTGTGGGTGCTGGAAAATATATTCCAGCAAACAAACGACTTTGTATGAGACTGTCACAGTTTGCCTGCGTTAACGGTTACTGCTGGGATGAGAGCTCTGGCTCAGGAGCACAGATGGCTGCAACAGCAAGTGAAATCAGTCACTTACTTTCCTTAACATTCAAGTCAACAACAACATTTTACACAGCTTAACAAGCCCTGGAACGCAGGAATTTGGCAGGCTGCACAAGACAAGCATATGGCTAAATGCATGCTGCCAGCAAAAACAAAATCAGAAGATATATAACAGGAGAGTGTTCTTGAGCAGAGAGTGATTAGTGATCTGGAAGGCAAATCTAAAAGTGAAGGATAATCATTAATAATGCTGAATTTCAAGAGAGAATCATTAGAATGGTGACAAGGCAGAGCTTACTGGTTCACTAATCTGCTCAGTGACTGGCTCATATTCATGCAATTTATTTTGGGGCTAATTTGGTAGGACAAGGAGTAGAAGAGAGAGTAGAAATTAGGTTTCAACTATTTTTTTTCTTTCCCATGACTTCAGATATTCAAAGTCAAAACCTATTGAAATAGATGAGGTACCACAAAGCCAATTACACCAATCCTGCTCCAGAGCTGTAATGGGCAGATTTTTCTTAGATGTTTGACAGAACAAGAGATAATTCAGCAAAGCATGAAAGAAATGCAAAATGCTAATATGTCCTTTGCTTTTTTTGGTTTAGAAGCTCAGGGCTGTACCCTTCAGGGACTGTTTACTTATGGCTTTAGAGAGGTTTGTCTGAACAAACAGTTTGAGTCGTGCGGCCCTGTGCTGCCAGGGGACCATTCAGTGATGTGGGGGAAGCTGGCAATGTCTCAGCTTGTCAATAGACATTTCAGCTGGGCTTGCAAGCAGATGTGAAGTGACAGCTCCTGATCTGTGCTTGCTCACACATCCTTTTATCAGGCTGCTGCATCTCCCAGGTGTAAGTTCCACAGCAGTGACCAAATCCATTTCAGGAGCCATTTAGCCTATGTTCATTGTGGGATGATCCAGAATCCAGTGCTTGGACTCATGGAGGAGAGATGTGTGATGACACTGTGCTTCCCAGCCTCTTTTCCCTGTTTTAGTCAGGAATAGCAGGATGTAGGTTTGCAACAACCTCTAATAAACCCCCCTCTGACATTGAGACTGGTCCCTGAACTGGAAGGCAAACATGGAATAATGTTATTGACTTTGCTGTGTAAAGAGAAGAGCAGCACTGATTTTTAGTGCAGGAGCTGGTCAGATGCTCATTGTTGGGAAGCTGAGGCAGAGATATTAGGAGAGAAGCATTTGTGTAAAATGAGTCATGCCCAGCTCTGCCTTTTTTTTGTGGATTAAAAGACAGAAGCCTACAGAAAACAAAATGATTCACTAATGAATCTTACTCTGTGCAGATCCATGCAAGAAAATGCTTGAGAAGGTAAAACCAGAGACAGAGCAATCTCCAGTGCAATAAAGGAATTTAAAGCCAACCCTTCCTATTGTTACTACATTAACTACATAATGAGGTGGAAAAGAGCCAATTTCAAGCACTATTCCCTTCATAAACAGGGGGTTTCACTTAAAGAATGAAGCATATTAAAGCAATTTTCTCTTTTAAATGAGAAAAAAATGGGTAAATGCAAATCGTTTTCTTAGTTGAAGATGACTTCTTGCAGTCTCGCCTATTTTTCTGGCAAACAGGGCAGTCCAAAACAAGTGCAATTTCCAGGAGAGGGAGCTTAAATTTCTTGCAGTAAAACATTCCACTGCTGTTTTCAGCAGTTCTTTGAAACAACTGCTGTGGATGCCAAAAAAAGAGCCAGTGTGTTCCTGTGGGCTTAACACATCTGCAAGTCAATTTTCCAAGAAAAGACTTGAAGATCTTCTGTGGGTATCTGTAACTATTTTATATTGGGCAGCAATGGGCATCTTCACTTGATGCTCCAATATCTACCAAACCCTTCATACTGCACCAAGGCTGGGGTGCTCAGTTCTCCTCACTGTCCTGGGGTCCCATCAGGAGGGGGTTACTGATTTATTTGCATTCCCCATCACATGCGGGCTGGCCCGCTCTGCTCCATCTGTTTGAAATAATTGCAAGGGATGAACTGAAAGTTCCAACACTGAGGACTACTCTGAGGCAGTAAAAGTTTCTTCAGTGGAGAAGCAAGTGTTCTCCGTTCCTGTGGTGACTAACACAGCACACACTCACCCATCTGTCTCCTGTCTCCAAGAGAAGCTGAGGTCAGCTTTCTCAGTGGGAAATTAACTGCATTGCTTTGAGTACACATTAGTGTTTTCAGAACCCTCTTTTCTTGGTCCATCTTTCTTCTCAAAAGTATCTATTTATTTCAATATTTAATCATTCCCTTCCTTTCCTGACAGAATAAAAGATCATTCCAAGTTTTACTCAGATCATCTCATTAGCACAGTGCAAGCAAAGAGAAGACCTGCTAGGCTTGTGCTGGATCCTTGGCACAGAAGCCAAACCCAAGAGCAGCATCAGCTTGGTTGGCAGGGGCAGCTACCAGGCTTTTAACTTCTCTCCAAGAAAAGAAAAAAAAGGAGGCTCAGGTGGTGCAAACCTTGATGTTAGTCACTGCAGCAAGCAGATGGACTCAAACATGTGATCTCCCTGCGTGACTGACTCTGGATTTTATTTCTACCCTGTGGAGAGCAGTTAGCTACTTCAGCCGACATAAATGTCTCCCCGGAAGAGTAATATTTTTAAAAAATGGAATAACAAAAACTGATGATAGATTTCTGAAGTTTGCCTGGATTCAGAAGCCTGAGGCTAATAGTAGAGCTGACAGAATTGTATATAAGTAAATAAATTATCAGCTGACAGCATATGTTTTCTTTCAATCTACAGAATGCTGGGCAGAGTTAAGCTGTGCACAGTTATGTTTTGTCTGCATGGTTTACTACAGCAATTTATGGAGTGTCTGTGACTCCACAGTAAGACTCTGAACCTCCATGTGCTTAACTTTACACACTGGAGTTATTTTGTGGAAGGTACTGTGACCATTGCAAGGGGCTGCATCACCAAAGCCTCACAAAACTGATAGAAACTTCCCTCTTGCTGTTGAAAACTCTATCTGGTTTTAAATAATCACACTGGGAGCAGTATAAATTATTCTATTTCCTTTAGGATTCTGTAAAAATAGTAGTTTTCTGACTGGGAAAGTCCAGGAGAATATGTTATTTTTTTATCTTTAAACCCAGCAAATTATTAGTTTGCTGCCAATTAACATAATAGTTGCTCAGCATCTCCACTTGCGCAAGAAGACATATTAAGAAGTTTTCAAAATGGCAGAAACTCACTCTTTTGTCAACTTAGTTCATATGACCACAGGCACAGAAGAGCTTACAAACATTTACATAAATATATATGTATTTACATAAGTATATATGTATTTATATACATATATATATCTATATATATATATATATATATAAAATTATCTGTACACATACATACACATGTATAAAGAGCATTAGAAAGACTCATCTTGCCTTTCAAAGGGTAATGTCTGGGACATGCAGGACACAGCCTGGGTGTGCAGACACATGCCCCTTCCCATCCTGCCTGCTAAAATATGCTCCAGATTTCACATCTCCCACGTGGCTGTTCTTGCCCCTTGACCATCATTTGGGAAGGAGGCAGCTGGACTGGATTCTCCTCCATGGCATCTTGCTGGATTGGGGATCAGTTTTCAGTTATGTGAACACCAGCCCTAGGTGAGAACATCCACGCACCGCCTCCCCAGCACCACTTTCATTCCTGGCATCCGGTCCCCTCAGCTGCAGCAAAGCCAGGATGTTTCTGTGACACATCAGCAGAGTTGTGATTGGTTTTGAGCTTAAAATAGGCCCTGGGAATTAGTGGTATGAAATCATGAAAACTGCAAGTCTCTAAAGTGGGAAACAAATGAATCTTTCTCAATCAACATCTTTAATTGCTTATGTTTCTGTACTTTTCTTTTCTGGCATGATTCCAAAGAAAATAGGAGATTATGTTTGAAATTATTTTCCATTTTTCTCAAGTGCTGATGAGGTATCCTGGGAGATGTACCTGAAGGGAAGCTGCCCCACAGCAACTGAGTCCCAGCTTTGGGCAATAAATGTACTTTACAGCCCCGTGCATTCAGGCAGGAGCCTCTGGTATTGTCCCAGTTGGTGAAGAGAGTGAACAGGGGAAGGCAAAATCAAGGGCAGAGATGAAAAGAAAAGGAACAGATGTAAAAGCATTGATCTGATGTACCTGTATTAAAAACACCAACATCTAATAAATACACTGGTCAAATGCTGAGCTCAGACACATAAAGTCAGCTATATAACCTCCAGAACTCATACTATTTTAAAAAACCCACACCATTTAGTTCAGACTGCTGAGCTTTATCTAATAAAATGGTTTTCATTTTACATCATTTTCTCAGGTTCTTCTGGAAGGTGGCAGCAAGTTTATTTATCAAAAAACTGGGACAGCTCCCTTGAGAATAAAACAGTCAGAGTCCTATCATCTACTTCAGAATGTGCACATACTCTCTTGCAACTCTGCAGAGCTCAAAAGCCTGGCTGTCTGCACAGCTTGCTGAAGCCTTGGATCCCAAGTTCCAGTCCAAAGAAAATTTTTACAGCTGAGTTGCATAATATCCTGACAAACTGTTTATAATAGAAGCACTGACAGATCCTGAACTGTAGGGTTACAAATTCCTTTTTTCTCCTCATTTCTGTTCAAGTACTAATATGAATGAATAGTGCAGGGAAGAGGGTGATGCAACAAAATGGAATATAACTTTTTTTTTTTTCAGTTGGGGGTCATGAATATTTTTAATATAAAAATCAAAATAGAGAAAAGTGCATCCAAATAAATTGTCTAAAATTTTGGATTGTAATCTAGTTTTTTTAAAAAAAAAATTAATAAGAAACAAAGCTTTTGTAACAGGAATAATTTAAAGAAGAGAAAACCAGAAGGGAGTGGTTTGAATAGAGCGTGACTTGCTGGGAAATTAATTTAACATCACTTTTTCATAAAAAAGACTTTTTAAGCCATAACAGCAGCTGCTAATATGGTTCATTTATCGCATAAATGATGTCATACACCGGGTTGTAAAAAAACCTTTCCAAGTAGCGACATCTTCCTCTCCCCCTCAGTCACTGCATCCAAAGCCCAGGGAAGCCAGATTTTTTTCATCAGACTTCAAAGGATTTGGAGCTCAGACCCACAGTGAGCAGAGTGTGATCTCCAGGGAGGAGAACCGGGGCTGGGAGCGGCTCCAGCGCGGTGGCTGCACGGACAGAGCTCTCTGAGCCTTTGCCACCCCACACATCCCTGCACTGCTCCTCGTGTCTCCCTGGGCTCTCATCAGACCTGCAAATCCACCTCCACAGACCTGCCCTTCTCTGCTCACAGCCCCTCTGGGCTGCCATGTGGGTTCTCTCTAGCTGGCACTCAGCTCCCACATCCATCCCTTCCCTCTGGGAAGCTCCAGGGCCGTGGCTTGGATGTTTCTCCAGCTCCCACTGCTCTCTGTATGAGGGACGCCAGGCAGCACCATGGCAACATTGCTGGTCCAAGCACAACACCCTGACCTCAAAAGAGTCATAGGAGAGAGGAAATTTCCCCATTTTGGCTTTGCCACAGAGACTTGCGTGGGGCAGACCCTGCCATGACCTGCCTGAGGACGGGGTTTAATGGTCCCAGAGTGGCCATGCAGGACACGCCAGCCCTCACCCCACGTCCCCCCCTCACACTGCTCAGAATCACAGAATATTCTGAGTTGCATGGGACTCACAAGGATAGGCAAGTCCGGCTCTTGAGTCAATGGCCCCTACAGGGACCAAACCCATGTGATCTTCACACCATGCTCCAACCAGCTGAGCTAATGCTCAGCACTTCACTTGCTCTCAGGAGTTTGCCCCACATCTTAGCAAACTTCAGGTCCTCCAGACAGGTTCTCCTCTTGCTCCTCTTGATTTTGAGGGGAACATCCCCAGCTGCACACAAACACACATGAACACACACGGGTGTGAGGGTGCACAGCTCTCACCTTCCCTGGTGCACACATGGTCCCGTCCAGCGGAGGCCCTTTCTTGGTTTTGCAGAAATAGGGGTTCTCGGGGTGGCTGCACCACAGCTGCTTGCAGGGATCAAATGTACGGAACTGGAACACACAAAAAAATCAGAGTGGTTGATGTTTGAGAGAGCTCCCACTGGAAACTGCAACAGGACCTGCAGATGAAGGGGTTCCTTTCCTAGGTTTAAAATGCCAGCTGTTGGTGCTGATCCCTGAGGAGCACCGTGATGTCTGTGGATTGAATATTTGAGCATACAGAATCATGACTCTGAGGTGAGATCCCGTCTGCATGAGATGGAATAAAGTCAAGCAAAAATAGTCTTACACAAGTGACCAACCAGCTTCCTCAGGCAGTGAGACACACACTGCCTTTTCTTACAGCTTCTCCAAATGGGGCTGCTTCCTTTGGCAAACAAAGCAAAAAATCCTTGTACACCCATGGGAGATGGAGATGAGCTGCTCAGCTCAGCTGTTGTAATCCCCTTCTTAGGGGGATGGAAATTTGAGATCAGGTCCCCAATCCAATGAATAAATCAGCATTTTACCTACAATGCAAAGGCTTCTATAGGAGAGGATGGGAAGCACCCACCACAAAACATACTAAATCATGATGTCTGGACATGCTTTTGGCTATTCTGAACAAAGTAAAATAGAAAGCCTCCATCTCCCAGGCTCTGGACGATGGCTGTAAGAAAAGATTCTCTTTGGCTGGGACATTCTTCCAAGGCAGCTTCAGAGGGAATTGAGTAAAGACACTACACTACAGCTCATGCTGTAAAGGTCCTCATCAATTACCTAGGGACACTGCTCGGCTCATATATTCCTGCAGATGGGGATGAAAGCAGAAATGTTACATTTCAGCAGCTGCCAGCAGCTGAAAACATCTCTTTCCATTTAAGATTTAGTTCTACTTGAGGGGCTGGAGGTGGGAGACACAGCCCTGCTGCAGAAGACTATTTTCTGAGGCCAGTCCTCTGAGAATAGCAATAAACTTGCCTTGCTTTAAACTTAGACTTTGCCTCTTATTTTCCTCATACACAAGAGCCAACCGTGTCACAAGAGCCCTCACAAGTTGCTTTACTCGCTGTGATGCCTATTTTCTCTTGCAAGGTATCAAAATACATCACACTTTCCATAAAATTGGATCATAAAAGCATGCTCCCCTGTGCTAGCACTAGGAGATGTGGCAGCAAATCCATCTCCTTCACATCCGGGTGGGAGTTTTGTAGCAAAATAACCAGCTGCCAGCAAGAGGAGGCTCAATAACACAGCAAGTTTGTTTGCTTGACAACTACAGATATTTATGAAACTGCACAATAACTACTTCTGTAACCTCAGCTTAAAAAAAAAAAAAAGACCAAGAGATATTTAGAATAACATATTTGACAACATTCAGTTGTTAATCCTTGCTTACAGATAAGAAGGCAAAATATCTTTCCTTGTGGGCTTCACTAAAGCTGTCCATTTTAGGGACATTTCAGAGACACTTAGAGCACTCCTGGATGAGAAACAGCAGCAGCTAAAGTTAAGTACTCACAGCTGTGCACATCATGTATCCCAGCCCGAAGTCAAAGCGGCACTGCTCATTCATGGAGTAGTGAATCCCTGGCAGCTGTGGAAGGGAGGGCCAGTCGTGTTCGAAGGGATCATCCCGCAGACAATCGTAGGAGCTGCAACAGGCAACAATTACAGGAACAGATGGGGCTGTGAGGCTTGCACAGTGTTTGTGGTTTCGTTGCCTTTTTGTTCCAAACAAAATAGAGCCTGCAATTTCTCAGATCCTGATCCTCAAGAGCAGCTAATATCACAATTATGGTCACATTCACTTTAGCATGTTGTATCTACCTTCAATGGATTCTACACATCTTTTTTTGAAGCCCTTCCATTGTAATTTCCATTTAGCTTGCAGGTAAATTCCTATCCGTCTCCAGGCCCCTTATGTGAAAAGAATCAAAGGAAGAATCCACATGAGACCAGGAAGAAAAGAAAGTTTAATTAATTTTCCATTTGCGGAATTTCTTGCTGCCTGCAGCTGTCTCTCAAATGAGGTTTCAAAAGCAGAGGCCAGGCTAACCAGCCCAGAATACCACTGAGCTTACAGCTTCCCTGTGTCCTCCCTGAGAAACAGTGACTCATTTACAGACTTCAGTTGGGTTTGTTCCCTCTCTCTGCTCCTCCTGATCACTCCCAACTCCATCCATAGTTTAACTAAGTTTTCTTTCTGTGTGATCAACATGGAAGTTTCTCCTCTGCTCCTAAGGAGTGAGGACAGTCTGTAGAGTTACATCTGACCAAGTCATGCCAGCACAAAGGACTGATGGCAGTCCCCCCAAATGGTTAACACAGTGTAAGAACTGGTTGATTCACAACACCAACCCAGTCCACAGGATCTATGAAATGTCTCCCAGTTATTTAACAGACATGAGGACACCATACACGAGCCTATCCTGGCAATCATTAAGGTTGCATTGAAGTTACCAATAGCTGAAAGCAGAATTTTGAGGTTAGATTTACTTCAAAGCAAACCATCATTCTGCTTTGTTATAAGACATTTTATAAATAGTTGTATTTAAAAGAACATAAAGCAGCCCTCTAGGCCAGATGATTTTTATTTAATGGCTAAAGCTCTGGAGGATCTTGCTAATTGAAACAATCACACTTCCCTCACAATGTTTTTATTCTTTATTGCCATGCCTAAGATATCTACAATAATAAAAATACTGACAAAAAGACTGACTCATGTTTGCTTCATTTATTTTGCTGCATTTTTTCCTACTCATTTTCAGCTTTTGCTGGTTATGGTGGTAGCTTTCCCATATTTTTTGTAAAACTTGCACATAATAAGGGGAGGGTTTTTTCTGTAAGGAGCAAAAAAAAAAAGGTCATAAACAGCAGAATTTGTCAGGGAACTCTACACAGATCTAATGCCTGAAGTGTCAGGTCCAAAAAGGAAGGCAAGGGGCATGGATGAAGCTGTTTAAACAGCTTTTGCATTTAAGGTACTGAAAGAAAAATTAACAACTGAAGACCTGATTCTGGAACCATGTGTGCTCTTCAGATATCTACTAAAGTCAAGAAAAGCCCTGAGCACTTGAAGGGCAGATTTTCCTCTCTAGGCAGCACCATCTTGTCACTGACAGGTATCACAAGCAACAAATGGCAAGACAGACACAACACTGCTGGGTAGCCAAGGCAGTGCTCAGCTAGAGATTAGAGTAGGAAGGGAGGAAAGTTAGCAATGAGATTCAAACAGTGCCTTCCATCATCCCTGAGAGGACAGCAATTACACCCTCAATGTCCAGAAAACAAACAGACATAAATGAAATGAGAATAATGTAGAATGGGCTGATATTGTATTTGCAGGGTGCCCCGATGAAGGAAGGAATGATGAATCTGACTCCATGTTCTCAGAAGGCTAATTTATTACTTTATGATACTATGTTATATTAAAGAATACTATACTATACTATACTATACTATACTATACTATACTATACTATACTATACTAAGGAATACAGAAAGGATACTTACAGAATGCTAAAAAGATAATAATGATAACTTGTGACTCTGGAGAGAGTCCCAACACAGCTTGGCCCTGATTGGCCAATGAGTGAAAACAACCCACACCAGAAACCAATGAAACAATCACCTGTGGTAAACAATCTCCAAACACATTCCAAAGGAGCAAAACACAGGAGAATCAAATGAGATAAGAATTGTTTCTCTTTTCTCTGAGGCTTCTCAGCTTCCCAGGAGAAAAATCCTGGGTGAAGGGATTTTTCAGAAAATATGAATGTGACAGGCTGCCATCAAAGTGAAGGCGAGAGGCAGAAGCGTTCCCTCACGGAGGGCAGGGGCTGCCCAGTGGTACTCACTGGAGGTAGCAGTACCCACTGGAGGTAGCAGTACTCACTAGAGGTTACAGTACTCACTGGAGGCAGTGTTACTCACTGGAGGTAGCAGTACTCACTGTAGGCAGTGGTACTCACTGGAGGCAGTGTTACACACTGAAGGCAGTGTTACTCACTGAAGGTAGCAGTACACACTGTAGGTAGTGTTACTCCCTGGAGGCAGTGTGGCAGTGTTACTCACTGGAGGCAGTGTTACTCCCTGGAGGTAGCAGTACTCACTGTAGGCAGTGGTACTCACTGGAGGTAGTGTTACTCCCTGGAGGCAGTGTTACTGGAGGTAGCAGTACACACTGTAGGCAGTGGTACTCACTGGAGGCAGTGTTACTCCCTGGAGGCAGTGTTACTCACTGGAGGTAGCAGTACACACTGTAGGCAGTGTTACTCCCTGGAGGTAGCAGTACACACTGTAGGCAGTGGTACTCACTGGAGGCAGTGTTACTCCCTGGAGGTAGCAGTACACACTGGAGGCAGTGTTACTCCCTGGAGGCAGTGTTACTCACTGGAGGTAGCAGTACACACTGTAGGCAGTGTTACTCCCTGGAGGCAGTGTTACTCACTGTAGGCAGTGTTATTCACTGTAGGCAGTGTTACTGGTGGCAGTGTTACTCACTGGAGGTAGCGGTTCAGCTCCTGCTGGCTGCAGCGGGACCAGTGGAAGCGGTGGAAGGCTGCCTGCACCAGGGGGGCCATGATGCTTCCCAGCCGGACCTCGTCCCCGCAGCGGTTCCCTTGGCCGTCGTGCTCCATTCCTAAACTGCCCCCAACAGAGACACAGAGGTGATGTTGTGGATGGGCTCTGAGTGCTGTCCCTCCCCATATCACCAGGGCTTGGTGCCAGCAAGGTTCTGAACTCCCACTGCCCTTGTTCACATGAGCAAAATCATGGGGGATAAGGGTGAGGACGGAGCTAGAGCTGGTCTGGAGTAACTCCCACATGGAAGGATTGACCCTGGAGAGTACCTTCATGTCATCAGCTTAATCCACTTTCAAAAAAAACCTAAAAATGCCTTTTATGGGCTTTTTGCACACACACATTTGTGAATTACTACAGCTAAATGTGAATCCATTTCTGAATTACTAAGCCTGCCCACCCTCCAGGAATACTAACAGAAACATTCCCAGGCTCTAATCTGGAGCTATTCAGGGCTTTATATAACTCTTCTAAAAAAATCACACCTTAGCTTGATTCAAAGTATTTTGCAACTGCAGACAATTCTTTTGCATGGAAATAAAGAAAGGCACCACACAGAAAGCTAGTTCAGACAAGCTGCTGCTGTTGCCCAGAAGCAATCCCACATTGTTTAAATGTGAAACAGCCTGGAAAGTGGTGGATGCTTTCTAGAAAATTACCCCAAATTACAGATTGTTTAAAATTTCTTTTTGGATGTATTATGAATATATTTGCTCTTTTCCTTTGTTAGAATCTTATATCGTATTTTTAATAAGCACTATGGGACTAATGTGGGCAATATCTGTCCATAGTTAAACGAAATTAACAGATTGGGGCTGAGTATTACTTGAGGGATTACAAACTTTCTGCAGCCTCTTTTAAAGCCCATGCTGTGTTCTTTTCATTTCTAATTCAAAAATTTGGGAAGCAAATACTATCTGAGTCTCAAATAGGTGTCTCTGTCTAACTAACAGATATGTTTCTGGTGATTTCAATAAATTTTGGCACTTTATTGTTTAAAAAAAGAGAAAGGACCTGCAGGCTTTCTCAGGAAAAACAAAATAGATGGAAACTGTTCAGAAAAAGCCTTCTGGTACCTGTTATTCTACCAAAGAGAAAATGGGAAAACAGTGGGAGTTCTCTGGAGGGAGAACAGAGAAACTAAAAAGATCTGGGAAAAGCCAAAGCTCTGACAACTGCTGCTCAGGCATTGGTTCAAATCACGTCAACAGATAAAAGGATTACATTTTCTATATGAGATATATAGAACAGTTGGAACTGCAGTGCTTGGCACCTTGCTTCTATACAGTATTGTTTCCTTTATCAGCACTAACATATACAGATTATGTGCTTATTTAGTATGGATTGCTTGCAAGAATACTGTGTTCCACTGACTCAGTGAATTCATATTTCTTTATTATGGGTACTTTTTATTTCTGCCAGGAGACTACAATACATCATTCAATCTAGTCCCACAGCAGCCCTGGAAGATATTTTGGTATTAGTTCTTTTTTTTTTTTCCTATTTGAAAATCCCAAAATATAAAGCTTATTTAAGATCATAAAAAAGGCTTTGTGAGAGCTGAGACTTGAAACCAGAGCTCTAAACTCTAAATATTGTTTCTTAACAACAATTGCATCTGTTCAATGTCAACAGCATTTGTTTGTACCAAAAACCATTTAAGGCACAACACAGATGTCCAGTTGTACTCACACATGTCCAGTTTCATGAGCCACCACAAATGCAGATGAAAACCCATCTTCATGGTTGAGAGTGCAGCTCCGGACGGGATGGCACATCCCAGTGACGGGGGCATAGCCTGTGAGAAACACCAAGGGTTTCAGAAAATGAACAAGTGCAGAAAAATCAGCGTGGTGGGAAGCTCTAGGGTGAGCTCTTTCCTTTGTTGTGACTCAAGTAGAGTTGAAGTGGTCTTCTCAAGACCTCTGCCCCCGGACATTTAACAATGTGATCCTTCATCTAGGAAACAGATGAAACCAGCCTTGAACAAATTAAAACTTCCTGGCTCACCAAGAAAATTCTTGTCACCTCTTGGACTGCCCTACAGTCCAAGTTGCCTTTTCTAAGTGCATAAGACAACAGAGGCAAAGAACACCACGTGCTGCTGATGGAGGAGCCCAATACCACCCCTCAGGGAGCAGAGTCCCATCCCTGTGTTGACAGCAGTTCTGGCCAACTCAAAATGAATGGGAAAGGTCTGAGATTTCTCCCCTCTGGTGAAAAACCTGATTTCACAGGAGGCAGAGGTCTGAAAAATGGAAAAAGGGGACAGTACTTGGCCCTCCTGTTCCAGACCTCTCCATAACAACATTTCTTACAATTTGGCTGTAACACAGCAAGAGCTTTAGAACTTTTTAAACACAAAATCTATTATTTAATCTTTGGGCATTTCCAGGACTGTTTACATACGTATCCAATTTTCTTTGCTTCAGTAAGAACACAAAAATGATCCAATAGATAATCAGTAAAAAAGAATCAAATAACAAATAAAGCAGTTACAACTGAGAATGGCCCAGCACGGACCTCTTGGGGATAGAAAACACCGAGCACAGCTCAGCAAAAGATGTACAGTTAAACTTCACGTGGTTAGCCTGGCTCAGTAATAAATGCAAATGCAAACCAAAGCCAGGCACACACCTTGCATGCCTGATGGACCAAAATCCTGCCTGGTGAGGAAGATGGCATGGTCGTGGTACTCGGCATGCCCCGTGTCAGGTTTCTGCTGCAGGTAGGCCCAGCGACACACGTTCTCCAGGCTCTGGGAGGGGTTCCCAATCTCTATCAGACTCATGGACTGCAGTCACACCGGGGAAAAAGTGACACCAAGAGTTATTTATTAGAAGTGTAGGCAATTTTTTTTTCCCAACTTATTCAGGCACTTGACTAAGCATCCCATTTCCATTAAAAGTTTGTTCTTAATTAAGAGATACTTACACTTCAGAAACAAATTTTACTGGATCAAGAAAGCAAGAAAATAGCTAAAGTTCATGGTTAGATTGTGATTTCTGCATTTAATGAGATCTAATATAAACAAAATTTTAAAATAGACAAAAAATAAAAAGATGGGTATTTTAATGACAAAGCTGATACTGGGTTGGGCACTCTTATTATTTCTATGCCACCCTAGCATCAGTTTACATCTCTTTATCATCACTTCCAGTCTGGATATACAGTTCTTGATGGAGCCCATGTCCCTTTTGGAACCACAACAGACTCAACCAGGAGAGACTGACCCAGTGTGGGGAAGATCAATGCCTAATGGCCAAGAAAAGCCTATCACAACAACTGCAGAGAGCCAGCACCCTGTCCTGTTCATCACTGCTTTTGTCATGAAATGGAGATGTTTAGGCTGTTCTGGCAGACCTTGGCACACTCCTGGATGCTCTGTTGGTGTAAAACCAAGTGCACTTTTTCAGCTGCACTTGAACCATTACTTCCAGAAATGGACATTCTCAGTGACTGTCTTTTAAATTGCATTTTCTTTATCCCATTACTCATCTGAAGATCATTCAGAAGGTAGAACACAACTTCCCACTGAGGGGTGCCATTCTCCATGTAGACCACAGGTTACATGGGTGGTGCACTGACACAGCTTGGCTGGTTCCAGTGAGCTGAAGTGTTAGGTGAGGTGCAAAGAACAGTTCTCTTGAGCAAGGAAGAGAAAGGTATTTTAAAATCCAGCTATTACATTTGCCACTTTTTTATTTATTTCTTTTTAGTAGTACTTTCTTAGGAGCTCCCACCTAATTCTACTTGATACTGTGCCCTGCTAAGACTTTGTAAAGCTTATTGTATGTGGGATACTCCAGAATATATGACTAACTGACCTGTCCCAGGACTTCCAGGACTTGTAAGAACTACAGATGTGAACCCTGGCTTTTCATTTGCAAAAATTATATTACCATGACAACACTGTAATCATAACAAAACCCACTACAGTTTAGATGCTATACTGTACTGCAAGCATTTGTCATTCCAAAATACTTAATGTAGAGCAAAACTTAGCCTATGCCAAAAATAAGAGAGAAGTAATACAATTCATGTTTAAATACAGATGTATTTGACGTGTCCTCTAATTGAATGCATGATGGAGTACATAGAGTATTGACTACATGAAAAAGAAAATCCTCAAAGGGTTGTGGAGGAACAACTGGAATTGATAAAAGAAGTGTCTGCCAAACTGAGGTCTGATTTTGGCAAAACTAAGATATTACAATTCTGCAAATGTTCAGAAAAACAAATTTATAAACCAAATAGAGCACAGTTTGGACTCTGATACCACTGTGGAATGAAAAAGTTGTAATATAATCCTGTATTGGATCATACTGCTTCCAGCCATAATTCCCTTGGAAATTGAACTAATAACTGTATTTAAAATGGTGGGACAGTTGTGGTGCCTTTATTGAATCTTTGTATATTTATAAGAACATACTTAAACAAACTTTGAGTTACTAATACAGGGCAAAATCCTGGCTCTCCAAGAAAAATCCTAGTCCGTTAAAAGGGTTTGACTGTTGCTGAGGTCTTTAATAACATCCATCAGTGGTAAAAAAAAAACAAACAAGCAAATGAACACAAAACTTATCTATATCACCTTCACTCTTATTTCTCTAAAACTGCACAAAAAAGATCAATTCCTTCAAGGAGCTCAATAAAAGTATCTGACTCCAAGACTCAAAAGCAAAGAATGCTGCAAAATGAAGTTGAGAAACCTCTAGTTTAATGTTTTCTGATGTTTGCTAATACTTCCTTATTTCATAATGACCTCCTTGTATACATTCTATCAAATGAAAAACTGCATCATCTAAGACACAATGATCAGAAAACAATGAAAACACACACCCTATCAACATATGCTTTGTTTAAGGGTATCCAATTATTTGCAAAGAAGTCCTGAATTTGCACGATCAGCAAAAAAGCACAGAAAATAAAATGTCAATTATTTCCTAATAACCACTGCTTTATAGCTGCCCTCTGTCATCTCTTCCCTGCCCGCTAAACCAAGCCCTTGTTGGTGGAGTCTATCACAAAAGCAAAATGTTTGTCTCTGAATGAACCAAGGGAGCAGGTTTCAGCGCTGCTCTGATTAACATCGAGTCTGCCAGGGGCCAGAGCAGTCTGGCACAGCAGAGCAGCAGCTCCTGTGGCTCAGGCCCTGCCCTGGCATTGCCATGAGTCAACAACTCCCTCACTGGATTCTGAGCCCATTCCAGAAGCAAAACCACAGGCTCAGTCCAAGAGAACCTCAATGCTTACTTATCAAAACACTGATTTTAGAGTTTGTCTTCAAGCAAATGAAGTTGGACCAAGTGGTTAACGTGGAGCATTGTGGGGGTTTTGCATCCAACACAATAGGGAGAAAGAAAAAACCCCTTTCACATAAAAGGGGAAACTGAGAACACACAAGTCCTAGAAAACATGTTTTAGCTGAACCAACATTTTTGCCAATGACACAACTTTAAGATAATAAACCTGAGCCTTACTGCTCTTTAAGCTGGGAAACAAGACATCCAGTAGAAAGTCAATTATTTTGAGTGTCTGTGTGCTATGAATGTAAGCAGCAAGTATAGGTCCTGTAAGTGAGGAGGACTTCAAAGAGTGAGAGGAAAAACTGAGTCAGCCTGCTGAGTACTCCAAGTCCACTGAGCACTCAAATCATCTGGTCACTAATCCCTTGTCTTTCCCCACTTATATATAATATAGCAGCCTGAAAAGAGAAACCCACTTGATTCCTAGCAAATTTTCACCTGAACACCAACTTTCTGCAATTTGCCAAAGACTTTCAGATCAGAAGGCTCCATCAGTGCTAAGAGCAAATATTTCATGGTTGGAGAACCATCAGTGAGTCAAGCTCACTGTGCTGTGCAACTGCATTGGCTGAGACTGAAGAACCACAAACACCATGGTCCTCTCAGAGCAGGCAATGCCATGGCCAGGAAAGGGAATTAGAGATAGTGTTTCCCTCCAAAGAACCTCCAAGTCTCAAGTGGTCGTTGGGTCAAAGACTTCCTAAGCCAGGCATGCCTTTATATAGAATTTTATCCACTTTTCCAGCTGCCTGGGCTTTAGAGATAAATGCTGCTGTCCTGAAGAAAGGAGTCTGGGAGACTGTGGGACCAGGCAGAACTTGTTAGTAGACAGGGCAGATGTCATATGTTTTAGAAGGATGTTGTCCAAAAATTACTCTTGTAGAGATATCAGATAACACTTAATAATATTTTCTTTTGGAAACCAATGTGGGCTTTCATCAGAGCCCAGATATTTTATTAAATGGACAAAGCAAATAAGGAAGAGGAAAAGAGATGAGCTGTGTGCTGTAATAAGGGCTGAAAGGTAAAATCCCTCTTTGTCACACAGCAAACAGGGGAAGCTGGGGGCCAGCAGGCTGCACATGGAGAAGAGGTGTAGGTGTTACTCTTGGCCAGCAAAGGGCTCACACTGCCAGCAACCCACAGGTCCTGCAGCTGGCTGGGAGCTCTGACCTGGCTGGGAAGGACCTCTTTCCAAGCAGGACAGCAGGCCTGTGGAGAGCATTACTCAGCTGATCAGCAGGAAAACTGCCAGTGGAAAGAGAAACTTTCCTTCTCACAGCAAGAAAAGCAAAAATATCTGTGAACTGCTGATGGAAACAGATGGAGATGTTGGCCAAGAAGTGGAAAGGGCTCAGCTGGGAAAACATCCCCCAGGCGAGGAGATACCACAGAGGGTGACGAGGACAGTCTGCCCTACAGAATTAGCTGAGGCCTTTTCTCTGGGAAACTCAACATCTACCAAAACTGCACATTTCCCTTCCTTTTTTTTGATTCTGCCTTCATTTCTTCTTCACTCCCTTCCTTCTTAGATGGAAGCAACAACAACAATCAAAAGAAAAGAAAAGAAAAGAAAAGAAAAGAAAAGAAAAGAAAAGAAAAGAAAAGAAGACAACTGAGTTGCAGTTACCATTCATACAAACAGGCAAAGCAGGGCAGTAAGAAGTGGTTGAAAGCCAGAGAGGTCTCTGAACCTTCTTATCCTTTGGAAGTTATCAGTTCTCTCATATGAACACACTGAAGAACAAGTCATTCATGAAGCTGTGGAAAGTCCTTAAAATACTTGTGGAGATTGGAGATTGTGGGGCAAGGAAGAAATAAGTATTTCTTTTTTCTTTAACAATGTCAAAGTTATCTTAGAAGAAAGCTGCAAAATTAGTCTATATTCTACCCAAGCCTTTCAAGAATGTTCAAGCTGCCAGCCCATGGGAAAGACACACTGGTGTCACACACAGAATGGCAGCTCCCCTTAAACAAACGTTTTATTTATCTGATATTTGGCAGCACTAGGTACAGCTTTGCAAAAGTGAAGATGAACAGGTACCTGGTGATAAGAATATAAGAAATTTAGGCTGGTCAGAAGCTTGGGACCTTTCCTAACTCATCCATTAGGTGGTGCTCCAAGAGAACCAACGGAGAAGGCTTTGCAGCTCTTCAGTAGCTCCAGGAGGAGCAGAAATATTCTTAACATGACAGACTTCAAACTATAGTAGGAAAAGTTGGACCACAGCAGTGCACACTTTCAGGAAACAATTTAACATATGACTTTCCCTTCCTGAATGTGTAAAGTCTCTGCAAAACACACTGTTTACATTGCTTCTACTTGGCATTTCTATTGCTCATTGGATGTTGGATTAAAACTTCTATATTCTTCTTTCATCCTGAACAAGACAAGCAAAAGATAAATAAGTACAACTATTGAATGTCCATGGTAACCAAACTAACAAAAATAGCTCATTCAGCAAACTGTCATTTTGCATTCAAG